CTCCGCATCCAGCTTCATCGACGTCGCCGGCCGCTTCAGGTTTTACTTTTTCTTTATTTAATTTTTTATTTATGTATTTTTCCAGTAGCATCATCATAATTCCAACTTTGAGTTGTTTTTATGGTGGTCTAACGCCAATAATTTTGACACCTAATTTTTGGATTTGGTAATTTGGGGAATTTCCTTTCTTTTTTTTGGGGAAAAGGAACTAAGAAGTGCTTTCAAACATAGCATGAGTGTTTTATGAGAATATTATTTAGGTGTTTGATTGGATTACTGGTTATGATGTTGGAAAGAAATTTGAAACACTTTTGTTGACTGGACGATCACTTCCCAACCAGTTTTTACAGGAAATTTCCATCGCATCAGAAGTTTTCAAGGGTGAAATTTATTCATGTTCTGTGTATTGTTTTTGATCTTATTTTCAAACATAGCTGTCTTTGCTAATTTTCTCGAGGAGGTTTTTAATCTTAGAATATTGTTTTTGATAGTTCCGATATTTGATCTTAGTTTAACTTTTTAGGTTTTTCAAGAAGAAGGACACCGCATCATCATCCTACTTATAGTAAAAGTACCCATTCATCTGTCTAATTTAAGGGCTACTTTTTAAGCCCTTTCATACTGCTGAGCCAAAATTTGGGTTCCCATTTGATTTATTTAGAGTTGTAGTGAATTTTTAGTGCATTGGTCGTGTTAAAGATTGGGTTTTTAGCGCATCTTTAGCATGAGGTAAAGCTGAGAACTTTGCAATTTGTGATGCAGTTATAGATCTGGCCTTTTTTTTTATTAGGGAAAAATGCTTCCAGCCCCCAAAACACAAGAAAAAACGCTTCCCACCCCCAAGACTTTTTCAACGCCCTCAAAACCCCCAAATTCGTAATAACTATGCACTGAGCCCCCAAAACACAAAGCCCAAGAATTTTACACAACTAAAGACTATAATACCCTTTATCTCTCTTATGGGCATTGATTACCTCCTCCCCCCTCCAGTGCTTCTCCCTGATGTCCCTATCCCCGACCGTCGTCGTCCCCTGCGGCGTCCGCGAGCTCAAGTCCGACGAGCGCGGGCTCTACCTCATCCACCTCCTCCCTCCTCACCGCGCCAACCACATCGCCGCCGGCTCCCTCGACCACGCCAACGGCTGCCTCGGCGAGATCGCTGACGGCGAGGTCGCGGAGCTCGCCGGAGATCTCGTTGGAGGCGAGAGAAAGGACCCTGAGCTCGGCGGAGGAGGGGAGAGAGGAGAGGAGGGAGTCGTTGAGGAGGTTGGCGGAGAGGTCGAGGTGACAGAGGTAAAGTGGGAGGAAGAGGTCGGAGGGGAGGGAGCCGAGGAGGCGGGTGCCAGGCAAATGAATTCTTTATCGGAAGAACTACCACAGCTAGCAAAAACAGCATGAAGAAGAAGGAGAAGAAGTCCTAGAAGCTAGCGGTAGAGAGGGGGTCCTCTCCCAACACAACCTCAAGTCCGTCGACCTCTTCAGGGGCAAGAGGATTTTCGAGCTGAGCAACGCCGAGAAGCTCGACGGATTCACGAGGGGAGCTGATCAAGGAGAAACACTGTCGGGAATCGGAGCCGGTCCCGACGGTTCTGATCAAGGGAGCAGCGACGCCCAGATCATCGTCGGCTACCATCTCAATAGCGTTCACCAGCTCTTCTTCTTTGACGTTAGCAACGTGGCCTTGATTGATTATGCATGCTAGCTGTTTGATTAATTATAAATCTTGTAATATATATTCTGCTGGTGTTCTATATTGCTAGCTAGTTGGTTAACTAATCTCTTGGATTGTTATTATATTATAATGCCCGTGTCCATAAAGATTGAGAGACTAGTAACTGTAGGTTGCATTCAGTGATAGTGTACGTTGCATTAACTTATATCGCATGCAATATATCCAGTTGCAGCTCTTTAATTAAGTGGTTGTTAAGGTTATACGCGTTGGTTGTTAAGCTTACGAGTTTTTTCTTAAGGTTACGCGTTGATTGTTAAGGTTATGATTGTTAAGCGTTGGTTGTTAAGGTTATGCACGTTGGTTGTTAAGGTTACGGGTTTGTTAAGGTTACGCATTGGTTGTTAAGGTTACGAGTTGCTTGTTAAGGTTACGTGTTAGTTGTTAGGGTTACGAGTTGCTTATTAAGGTTACATGTTAATTGTTAAGGTTACGGGTTGGTTGTTAAGGTTAAGCTTTGGTTATCAAGGTTATACGCGTTGGTTGGTAAGGTTAAGCTTAACAACCAACGTGTAACCTTAAAAATCAATGTGTAACATTCACAATCAACGTGTAACCTTAACAATCAAACCTGTAACCTTCACAACCAACCCGTAAAACCTTTATAAAACTGAAAAAAGAAGGAAATAAAAAAAAGCTTTAATTTTTTGGACTTCTACTCTAATAATTCATAAAAATAAAAAGCAATTATAATTTTTTGAACTTCTACGATGACGTATACATTTGTTTTAGGTGGTTGGAGTGAGCTGGATTTTGTAATAGTATTTTACCTTTAATTTTCATGAAATTTTCAAAAGTCATGCGATTTTACATGTTGGTTGTTAAGGTTATGGGTTGCTTGTTAATGTTACGCATTGGTTGTTAAAGTTATACGCATTGGTTGTTAAGGTTACAGGTTGCTTGTTAAAGTTACGCGTTGATTGTTAAAGTTACGGGTTAGTTATTAAGGTTAACTCATGTAACCTTAACAACCAACCCGTAACCTTAACAATCAACGCGTAACCTTAACATGGTTGTTAAGGTTATACGCGTTGGTTGTTAAGGTTACAGGTTGCTTATTAAAGTTACGTGTTGATTGTTAAGGTTACGGGTTGGTTATTAAGGTTAACTGTAACCTTAACAACCAACTCGTAACATTAACAATCAACGCGTAACCTTAACAAGCAACCCATAACATTAACGACCAACGCGTAATCTTAACAAGCAACCCGTAACCTTAACAACCAACGTGTATAACCTTAACAACCAATACTTAACCTTAACAACTAAATCCTAACCTTAACAATCAACACGTAACCATAAGAAAAAACTCGTAAGCTTAACAACCAACGCGTATAACCTTAACAACCACTTAATTAAAGAGCTGCAACTGGATATATTGCATGCGATATAAGTTAATGCAACGTACACTATCACTGAATGCAACCTATGGTTACTAGTCTCTCAATCTCTATGGACGTGGGCATTATAATATAATAACGATCCAAGAGATTAGTTAACCAACTAGCTAGCAATATAGAGCACCAGCAGAATATATATTACAAGATTTATAATTAATCAAATAGCTAGCATGCATAATCAATCAAGGCCACGTTGCTGACGTCAAAGAAGAAGAGCTGGTGAACACTGTCGAGATGGTAGCCCACGATGATTTGGGCGTCGCTGCTCGCTTGATCAGAATTGTCGGGACCGGCTCCGATTCCCGGTGGTGTTTCTCCTTGATCAGCTCCCCTCGCGAATCCGTCGAGCTTCCCAGCTCGGAAATCCTCTTGCCCCTAAAGAGGTCGACGGATGCGTTGGGAGAGGACCCCCTCTGCTACCGCTAGCTTCTAGGACTTCTTCTCCTTCTTCTTCATGCTGTTTTGCTAGCTGTGGTAGTTCTTACGATAAAGAATTCGTTTGTCTGGCACCCGCCTCCTCGGCTCCCTCCCCTCCGACCTCTTCCTCCCACTTTACCTCTGCCACCTCGACCTCTCCGCCAACCTCCTCAACGGCTCCCTCCTCTCCTCTCTCCCCTCCTCCGCCGAGCTCAGGGTCCTTTCTCTCGCCTCCAACGAGATCTCCGGCGAGCTCCGCGACCTCGCCGTCAGCGATCTCGCCGAGGCAGCCGTTGGCGTGGTCGAGGGAGCCGGCGGCGATGTGGTTGGCGCGGTGAGGAGGGAGGAGGTGGATGAGGTAAAGCCCGCGCTCGTCGGACTTGAGCTCGCGGACGCCGCAGGGGACGACGACGGTCGGGGATAGGGACATCAGGGAGAAGCACTGGAGGGGGGAGGAGGTAATCAATGCCCATAAGAGAGATAAAGGGTATTATAGTCTTTAGCTGTGTAAAATTCTTAGGCTTTGTGTTTTGGGGGCTCAGTGCATAGTTATTACGAATTTGGGGGTTTTGAGGGCGTTGAAAAAGTCTTGGGGTGGGAAGCGTTTTTTCTTGTGTTTTGGGGGCTGGAAGCATTTTTCCCTTTTTATTATCATGGTTTTCAAGTTCTACGATATGGTTATTTTTCAAGTAGGAAGGTTTTGCAGTTTTTGAGTTGATTGTGGATGGGAGTGACATGAGATGGGGGGATGATTGTCCTTGCCCTAGGTTTATTTATAGCATTTTCATGTTTATTTGATAGAAAAGTTGGAATTTTGTGATAGATGATAGTTTGCATGCAGTTTAAGTTTAGAAATGCTTCATATTTCTTTGACCCGTCGGTTGTGTTTCTCAGAGCCTAAATTTGAAGCACGAGAGGGATTTTTTGGGGGTAAGTTAGTGATATTAGATGCATTTTTATTCTCTTGAGGTTTAATATTTATATTTTTATTTATTAGCAGATAATTTTTCTAGATTTGCTTTCCTTATTGATGTTGAATACTTCATAATTTATAGAAGAATATCCTGTTTATTAGCACACAATTGTTTGTGTTGTAGGTTTAAATTTCTTGAGATTATGTATAATTTTTGTTTATTAGTCTATATGTTAGATCTAATTTGGTTTTAACCGTTCTAAATATATTTTTAAGAAGTTTGGAATTTTGGCGTTTTGCACTCTTCAATTCGGCAAAGCAGTATGTGTCTGTTAATGATTTCTGAATAGAAACATCGTTTTCATTTCACTCAACTTTTTTGGGATATTTGTTAAAGTCCCCAGTAGGTTATTGTTTGTTACCGGGTTAAAACTTAAAAGTTTATTTTGATCTATTAATTTATGTTAATCTTTAATATGTTGATGTGCTAATGGTTTTGATTTAGAGTATATGCTCATTCTTTTTCCTTTTTCCCCTTCTCATTCTTTTAGCTCTTATTCTACTAATGATTGTGAGTGACTTCTTTCTTTGTCTGTTGTGCTTAAAAAATAATATGGGAATTATCCTTCATTCCTCACATTTCACTACCCTTACTTCTTTATTTGTAGAGTACAATAGATACATAGTCGTACAATTTATCAAAGTAAAAGGTGTACAACATAGTTTGTAATCCAATTCTTTATTGAACATAGTTTGTAATCCAATTCTTTATTGGTTTTTATAGATATATGCCTTCAAATTATAGGCACTTTTAAATTTGCCCCTCAAATCTTTGTCTCATCAAATCTGCCCTCCTATTTATTTACTTCAGCCAATTTTGCCCTTCCTCCCAAAATTTGACAAAGTTTTTATTGCGTTAATATAAAATTACATTCAGATCCTTGCTGTAAGCAATATAAGATCATCACAAAATATACTCCTAACCCAAATTAAATTATCCTCATGCATTTTAAGGATTGTCAATTGATTATACTTCGGAGCGGTTCTTTTTTTTGTGTGGGGTGGTGCAGAGTCATTGAAGCTGGGATAATGATTCACCATTGTATTTGAGATCTCAATCAAACCCATAATTAGAAAAGCAATTACGAGCGAAGATATATAATAAATGGCATTATTATGGCATATAGATGAATGTGAGTGATGAGAAAATCCCTTGGGAGGGGAAAGCACCTCCGGAGTCATCAATCAGCATTGAGGACTGGGGAGTGGGGACTATATTGATGATGAGCAAAATTAACATAAATCATAATCGGTGTTCTCTCTGTGTAGACAGCCCGACTTGGGAGCCCCACAAGAGTGGGAGAAAAATGGGGAAGGAAAAACTGAGATGAAGCAGAGTTTACAGACGGTAAAACGAAAATAGATAATATTTTAACAAAAAAGTACTCATTTTCACATTTATAAAATTAAATTAACAGAATATTCTAATTGGACTTTCTAACACTTAGATGGGAGGTTAAAATTAGCGGAATAAAACAATTTGAGGCGCAAATTTAGAATTGTTATTACAGGAGGGGCAAATTAAAAAATAGCTACATTTATAGAGTATATGTCAAAAAACCCTTCTTTATGAAAAAGTTTATGTTAAAGTAGATGCTGTTATAAAAAGTAAATATTTCAAAAGGGTAAACTTCAAAGAGACCTAAAACATAGTTTTTAAAAGGTCAGAACTGGGTCAATTAAGCTGCAGAGATTAATTCATTGAGAAACTGAAGCTCAAGTGATCTAGTCCCAAGTCCTCTCTTTTAATTTATGTTGCTCGATGGAAGTTAGCCTGATTCATGACTGCTTTGCTTTACCTTTTTTTTATTTTCTCTTAAATTTATATACTTTACCGCCCTTTTGCAATCTTAGATCGAAACTTTCATCCAAATCTGATCATTTGTGTGTTTTTTTAATTTTTCTGGGAATTTTGTAGATGTCAATTTGATGTCTCGATAGTCTGTGTTAGGGTTTTTCGGGTCCAAATCTCAAAGATTGGTGAAAAGTGAGACTTGATGATTGGTATTGGTAGGATCTTATTCAATAGAAACAATCTTGACTAAATCTATGATCGTAGAAATTTGATGTCATAGGAAGAAGGTATAAGAGTAAGGTCAATTTGTTACTTCAATTTAACTAGAAGTTGTTTTTAAATTCATTTCCTTTCTTTTTGGAAATTCCATTGTAACTTTGAATGTCTATTATGCTTTCAGCAATCAGAAGGTTTTTGAATATACGTGCTGGTCGGAGCCATGCAGGTTAGCAGCTTTATACTTACTAAAGTATCTAATTAATCATGTCAGTAATAGTCAGTAGATTATTTTTCATACTACCATTGCTCTAGTCCTATTAATTTATATCTAAGTATAATTTGAGGATGATTTGGACGGGCGTCCCAATTAATTCCATTACATATATTAAAGAGACTCATCTCAGTACCTCAGCTTTTGTGAACACTAGGAGAAGGAATGTAACTGGTAGCTCTTCAGCTTGCTGTGTTACACTTACATATAATATCTAAATACTACTTGTTAGATTACTAGCTTCTTGAGTCTATACAAGTTTGAGAATTTGATATAACCAATGCAAACTACGACTTCTATTGTTAAAACCATATTGATGGGGTCGGGGTGCGGGGGCTTCGATCCGAAAGTAGATGGCTCGCAAATTTGTTGCCTTCGGCGCCAACTCGGATCCGATGAGAAAACATGAGATTCTCGATACTGTGAATTTTGGTGGGTGCTCGAATTTGAACGTCATTTGAAAGGGAGCGTCCCAATTAATTCCATTACATATATTAAAGAGACTCATCTCAGTACCTTAGCTTTTGTGAACACTAGGAGAAGGAACGAAACTGGTAGCTCTTCAGCTTGTTGTGTTACACTTACACATAATATCTAAATACTACTTGCAAGATTACTAGCTTCTTGAGTCTATACAAGTTTGAGAATTTAATATAGCCAATGCAAACTACGACTTCTATTGTTAAAACCATATTGATGGGAGTCGGGGTGGGGGCTCCGATCTGAAAGTAGATGGCTCGCAAATTTGTTGCCTTCGGTGCTAACTCGGATCTGATGGGAAAACATGAGATTTTCGATACTGTGAATTTTGGTGGATGCTTGAATTTGACGGCAGATTTTTCGGTCGTCGATAACTTTCCAGAGCCGTGTTGTAAGATTTTGACGGCAATGGATCATTACTCATTAAAGGACGATCGGGGAGATTCGATGATGGCAATACTCAAGTGGGTGTCGTCGTTGGGGTAAGCAATCAGATTCGAAGGATTGTGTGGCATCATTGGAGGCGAATGGTGTCAGATCTCGAGGCTATGGCGGACAATGTTCATATGTGAACAATAACTTTTTTGGGTTTGTGGTTGAGATCGGATGGCTAGGTTTGAAAGTGGAAAATTTTAGATAAATAACTAGGCCTCATGCCTAGGGGCTTCACACCTTAAAGAAAAAAGACAAATCACATACCAAAGAACACCGCACATGCTCAAGAGAGAATTCTCAAACTCAACTTTTTTTATTCATCAATGTCTATTTCTCATGGAAGATTACATATCTTATTTATAGGAAAAGAAAACATCTAAACATTAAGGAAGTAAATAAAAATCCTAATCAAATCAAAACCTAACAAGACTAAAAGATGCAATCAAATAAAATCCTAGTTAAAATAGAAAGAGATTTCAAAATCAAATCCTAAAAAAATCCTAAGTAAAAAGAAGATTACATAGAATAAATTAAAATCCTACCAAAAAGGAAAAGATTCTAATAAATCCTAATCGCATTACATGGAGAGTCCAAGATTGTCCTACATCAAATCTCTCATCGTCTGAGAAAACTCGACCTCGAGTTTTATAATAAGAGAGCGTAATGTTTGACTTGATCGGTGAGAAGAATTCTGCTGTAGGTTGAAATTTTTTCAAGATGAGCTATAATATTGAGTTAGTGGTGGAGGGAGTGGAATAACGAACTCAATAATCAGACTATCTTGAAATTTGCACCGCATATCGAACTTAATGTCAGATACCAAGCTTGACTTGAGCTCTGAGTTTGATTCAAACTGGAGAGTTAGATGATCTGCTGCTTTGTTTTTGGTTCCAACTCTTGTTAAGCTTGAGCTCTGGATCTTTCTTTTGATTTGCTTCTTTTACCTGTAGTTCAGGCACACACTCTGGATCGATCTTTGATCTACATCTGATTTTGGCTCACGCTTTGACTCAAGCATTGGTTCTTAATTAATTTTTTGTTAAAACTTGCTCTGCTTTCTTGTCTGACTCAAGTTGAGGCTTCGAATCTGGATTGAAATCAAATTTTGATTGAAGATACACATCTGACCTGGGTTAAGGAATTTGTGTTGGCTTTGCTTCATAATTTGGAGAGAAATGATATCTTCTAGATGATGGACTAAAGTACGTCATCTCCCAAAGAGCTTTCATAGTTGTCCATGAATGGATATTTGAATGATAATAGTTTCTATACCACCAATATTTTGGCTCTCTCTCTAGCTTACATTCAGCATATAAATACATTCCAGTTCCGACATATTATAGATAGAAAATATATCATCTATGTAAAAAATCCAGATGTTAAATTCATAAGGTTCCTTATATCCATCAAATCCATAAAAGTAGGCTAGGGTACCAAATTAAAGTGGACTAAAATCATACCCTTGTAAATGAGGTAGTGATATTTTACCCCTAATAAATGTGGATCATTCGTCTCTGATACCAAATGAGATTCTTAATACTGTGAATTTTGGTGGGTGCTCGAATCTGAACGTGATCTAGAAGGGGGAGATGGTAGATTTTTTAATCATCGATGATTTTCCAGAGCCGTGTTGTACGACCTTGGCGGCGAGGGATCATAACTCATTAAGAGGTGATCAGAGGAGATTCGGTGATGGTGATACTCAAGCGGCGATCGTCGTTAGGATAAGCAATCAGATTCGAAGGATTGGGGCATCATCGGAGGCGAATGGGGTTGGATTTTGAGGTTGCGGTGGATACTGTTCATCCATAAGCAATAATTTTTTTGTGGGTTTGTGGTTGATATTGGATGGCTAGGATTGAAAGTGGAGAAATTTTAGATAAATAACTAGGTCTCACACCTAGGGGCTTAACACCCTAAAGAAAAAAAGGCAAATCACATGCCAAAAAACACCTCACACGCTCAAGAGAGAATTCTCAAACTCAACTTTTTTATTCATCAACATCTATCTTTCATGGAAGATTATATCTCTTATTTACAGGAAAAGAAAGCAACTAAACACTTAAGAAAGTAAATAAAAATCCTAATCAAATCAAAACCTAACAAAATTAAAATATGCAATCAAATAAATCCTAGCTAAAATAGAAAGAGATTTCAAAATCAAATCCTAAAGAAATCCTAACTAAAAAGAAGATTGCATAGAATAAAATAAAATCCTATCAAAAAGGAAAAGATTCTAATAAATCCTAATCGCAATACATGGATTACGTGGAGAGTCCACGATTGTCCTGCATCATATATCCTCTAGACACTAACTAGATTCTGGTTACAAAATGGAGCAAAAATGTAACAAGGTTTCTGGAGAGAACTTTTTTAAGTATACATAATGAGTTCAAAGATTATAACAAGGTTTCTGGGGAGGAACTTTCTAAAGTGCGAACAACCAAGCAAGTACGTAGAGACTAGAGATATTAAATTGGTTTGAGTCCAAATGATTAGTAGGTTAAAGAGATACCAAAGGGAATACGGCTTAGGCTCAAGATCTCATAATGTTCCTCTCCTTAATGTTTCATAAGCAGCATTTAATTAATAATTGACTACAATATGGACATTTACATAGGCTACGTCAATGTTCTTGATTAATCCCATTTATTATGGGCAAAATTCTATTTATGTTATGTAATCTGGTGATCTGGTCTCATGTCAGCAAAAATCATGTTTGTTTTCCTTGTCATATTATCATAACCAACTGTTTGTAAATTTGAATAATCCATTTTAATATCTAAAGTAGACTGTAATCTTTTATCATCTAATACACATATGGATCAATGGAATTAACTCCTTGAGTATTCTTTTCATTAGCTAGGTGTTTACATGCTGGAACAGTGGAGCAACATAGAGAATAGAAATTAATATGAAAGGTTACCAACTTGATTCTTTGCTTTGGATGCATAATTACTTAAACCTGGAAATGTATACATCCTTCCCAGTTCTAAATGCAATGCCAGAATAAGTTAAATTCTTTATTGTCATTAATTTTTCTTTAATCCGGGGAAATAAAAAAATGTGAAGAGTTCTATCTATTAAAGAAATGACAAGAGTTCATTGTAAAAGTTACAAAATTAACAAGATTTTATTAAACAAAGGGATTGAAATTAAGATCTAAGAAAAAGATATTATTTAGAAATGTAGAGATGAGTTTTTATATGGAAATCACCTTTCAAATATGGGTGTAATATAGGAACCACCTTCATTGTTTAATTTATACAATAATTTATACAAGAACTAGTTTAAAGGTAGATTTTCGTTTCAATCAACCACCAAATCCTATTTCCTGTTGATTTTTATCAGAATTCCTTAAATACACCTAAATGGTTACATAATACGTTCTCCCCTTTTCATCCTGTTCCTCTCTTTCATTTTCATAATTTCATCAACCAATTTCTTATTCTCAGATACCAAAATCTTTCTTTCATTCTTTATGAAGTCTTCTTGTACATTCCTTCAATCTTAGCCTTCAAATGGTTTATTCTCCTTCATTGACCTCATATTACATTTTCCACTTCATCTCCATTGGCCTCCCATGTGAAGAAGAAGATGCAAAACCACCTACATGGGAGCTCCAAAACCCACACATCTCTCAAATACACGGCAAATAAAGATGTTGGATTTACAAAAAACTTGATTTCAACAGGAAATTTTCTCAATTAATACCTTGTTCTACTTCTAGATTTAGGGCATAATTATGAGAGGGAGGGAGGGAGGGAGGGTTGGGGGGAGAAACAATAGTAAGAAAAAGTTCTTTGTACATAAGGCATTTAGGGGTATTTTAGGATCATAACCACCATACTCCACCTCCTCAATCACAGGTAGCCAAATCTTATCACAAAGTTTATAAAGAATTTCCTTATGACCCATAGGCCTAATGTTCTTATCACTAGGAACATTAGCATGTCTTGCCTTCAAGTGGCAGATCTTATCTTGCAGCTGACGATCAGTGGCCTCAAAGCTTAAAGATGAACTAATGACAGCAAGCAATGTTTGGATCAAGAGAAGAGCCTTCGGAATCTCGCCTCTTCTCTTTGTGTTTGATGACGCCCTCTAGGATCTTGATCTCGTCTTCTTGGTACCAAATGCTTGCGAAATTGACGGCTAGGTTCTTCATGTTGTTGTTCGATTTGGATTCTTGATTTGATGGAATGATGATTTTGTACAGAGAATCTGGAGGAATCTGATGTTCTTGCTATACGGTCTCCTTTACGCTATTCTTTCTTCTCCCCCCTCATCCGGACCTTATGTTGATTTAGGGTTAGGTTTTTTATCCGAGTTTGTGGATTTTTGAGGAAGGTAAAGGAGGCGGATCAAAATTCAACTCAAGATTAATTTTCCGGCCAACTAGAATTTCTTGCTTCATGTTCGAAATGAATTTGTTGATAGTTTTTTTTGTTGATCTATATCTTTACGACTACGACTATGTTAAAAAACCTATTGAGTGTAGGAGAAGCTTCAAGGCCATAAAGCATGTCTTTCATCTCACTTAGAACACGAGTATAACTTGGTGATTTCACACATATTTTTTTCTTTCTTTCCTTTGCTTTATGTCTAGAATTTTCTAAAGCATGTCATAGAGTTAGCTGCAAAAATAAATTGCATCAAATGTTGCAGCAACAAATGTTGCAGCAAATGTTGCGAAAATAAATTGCATCAAATGTTGCAGCAACAAATGTTGCAGCAACAAATGTTGCAGCAACAAATGTTGCAGCAGCAAATGTTGCGAAAATAAATTGCATCAAATGTTGCAGCAACAAATGTCGTGTGTAGCATTTGGTGCAGGGAAATCAAGTTCAAATTCGATGTTTGGATATCTGCAATTACATTGTAGAGAATGTATTTCCAAATGCATGTTCTAGTGTTTGGTTGAAAAACAATTAGACAGCCCTTAAATATCTATTAATCATATATTATAAGATGGTATAAATATGAAACAGTAAAGTTCTTTTCCATGTAAAATAAATACCACAATTAGAAAGGTTGGTTACCTGGAGCTAGCATCTACAACTTGAGTTTGACATGATTGTTGGAGGTATTGCATGAATTGAACTGCAATTCAAGCTTCAAAAAGGAGCTATAAATGTTTCTCTTTTGTGGTTGAGATAAATCAGGCAGAAAAGGTTCCAAACTCAGTTAATATCTGAATGAATGATGTTTTAATTACATATCCCCAAATAATGGGAATGGTGTTTTAATTGCATAGGCTGTTTCAACCAATTCAAGGAGCCATGTCGCTGGAGTTGTATACTGCCAAACAGATGGCAGCTTAAGCTGTCATGCTGAAGTTTTTCTTCTTCATAGATTAGCACAGTAGCTAATAGATAGAGGAGAATACTTTTATCAATTAACTTCATTTCTTTTCCATAGGATCATAATTCATAAGTTTTTGGTGAAATCTGATAAACCAGTTTTGGCTTGATGTTTTGTGCTTGGGGAAGTCAAGGTCACATCTGATCATTGTAGGACCATTATTCTCCAATTTACTTCATTTTGCTGTAAGTTTTAGTTTTTTATCTAGAGTTAAGCTAGCAATGTGTTTATATTAAATTATTTCTTATATTATGTTCATATGTTCAGCTGTTGACTGCATTGTTCTCTGTCTTCATGTTCTGAACAAGAATTTATTTTTTTCAATTCTAGAATTTATTAGTCTCGATTAATCTTATGATACTTTTGGGCATATCAGATGCTTTTCAGGACTTGTTACTAGATATTCAAATTTCATTCAATCTTGAGCACCACTTTTTACAGGCATCAAGAGCAAGGCTTTTCAAGGAGTACAAAGAGGTGCAACGGGAGAAGGTTGCAGACCCCGACATTCAGCTAACTTGTGATGATTCCAATATATTCAAGTGGACTGCTCTTATCAAGGTAATTGTTTTTCCTTTCATTCATTTAAGGGGTTCTTGGTGTTTTTTCTCCTTCAATTTTTTACATTTTATTTGCCAATTAATACTTTTCGTTATTTATTTGCTTAGGGACCTTCTGAAACTCCATATGAAGGTGGTGTATTTCAACTTGCATTTGCCATACCAGAGCAGTACCCTCTGCAGCCTCCACAAGTGCGATTTCTCACGAAAATATTTCATCCAAACGTGCATTTTAAGGTAATAGTTTGATTTGCATATTGAAGGTTTATAAATACAGGCTTTCACCCTGTATCTTGCTTTTGACGTTTTTTCTTGCTTGATTACATTTCATATATTTTTAGGGTTTTTTGCTTCCAAACCCAATGTTTTACGATGATTTATTTTATAACTCACTTCTATCCTAAGTTGCATGGAAACGGGCACGGGTATTGGTATGGGTGCGAGTGCGAGTGCGAGTACGGGACATGACAAAACTGTAAAATGTAGGGTACGGGGACACAACTAGATATATATATTGAATTAATATTGTACATAAGATAATTTTTTTCCCCTTCATGTGTCATTAGAATTAAAATTCCGATCACATTTTTGAGTTTCTTTTATCATATTGATTATCGTGAATTGTAAACTACTCATTTTTTTACTAGACATCTAAACGACCCATTAACTATATAGTTTTAAACTTGAGTATGGACAGAAATGAATCCGACCCGTATCTCATTAGTTTCAAAAGATGGATGTGAAGTGTAAGCTCCAAGTCCAGTAAGTCTTTGACAAGTGTTTTAAATTAACACATACATCGTATAATTGAGTACATGTTGTAATAAATGCATGCATATATTCAAGAAGTGTCCATGAAATTTGGGTACGGGAAAGTGTCGGGTACGTGTCCTGTACGGGTACGGCTTCATTATAGAAGTACCCGGGTAACATAGCTTCTATCATTTACACATAAACGCAAAATATTATTTGTATTTATATTTAAATCCGAAAGTCCAAAATAGACCTTGGGCGTATTTAGATATAGGAGTTGGGGTGCAGTTGCATCATTGTAGTATTTACAAATTGCCCCCCTAAAATTTTAAAAATTGCATCCTAACCTATCTCAAAGCACTAAATAAGTTAGTAGGAAATTGAATCAACTTATTTGAATTGTATCAAGTTCATTCCCATTTGGTACTATAGTTTGATAATATTATATTTTCATTTTTAGGTAAATAGATACATGTTGTTTGCCCCCCAAGAATTTTTTTTGGATCCTTACTGAATACAATCATATATATATATATANTCCCCCCCCCCTCTCCAAAAAAAAAACACCTCTTCTCTCCTTCCCAAATACATGTAAGTATAGCAACAAAACTTTAGTATAACAACGATGAACGATGCATGCAAGTATAGCAACAGAACCTATAAGTATAGCAACAAAAGCTATGAGTATAGCAACAATGTATATAAGTATAGCGACAAAATTTATAAGTATAACAACAACACACGTAAGTTTAGCAAGAAAATCTGCAAGTTGATGATGTAGATGTGGAAGAGGTGGAGTGTCAGGAGAGGGATGAAATGGTGTACAAGAAGGGGGAGGTGGGGTGATGGAGAGGCTAGAGGAAAGCCTAAACGATGAGATCGCGAAAATAGAGAGAGTAAGTAGAGGAAGAAGAATGGGTTAGAATGAGTTATGAGTCAAGAGAGGAGGAAGGGGACAAGGGTGTTTTGGGCTTTTAACTTTTTTTTTTGGGTTAATATTGTATATAAAAATAGGGTGTATTTTACGTTTTGGGCTTAAAGATAAAAAAGAACATAAAGATAAAAAAAGAAAAAGTATTTTGGGTTTATAAGTAAAGATAAAAGTAAATGGGTTTAAAAGTAAAAGGGGATAAAACTTTTGATTTAAAGGCAAAAACCCCTACCTTTTATCCTTGAAAATTTAAACACCAAACACCGACTATTAGAGGAACATTATGTATTTTGTTTCTTGTGTTCTGTTTCCTGATAATTGATTTGATAGGTGCTTTTATACCATGCCTGTTTTTCAAAAGCTTCCTTCTCCTATGTGTTGTAGACAGGGGAGATCTGCCTTGATATATTGAAGAATGCTTGGAGTCCTGCATGGACCTTACAGTCCGTTTGTAGGGCTATAATTGCTTTGATGGCGCATCCAGAAGCGGACAGTCCTCTCAACTGTGACTCAGGTTAGCTGGTCTTCATATCCTTCATCTTCCTCCCTTTATCCCTGCTTAAAAAAAAACCCTGCCACCAAATAAAAAGAGAAAGAAAAAAGGGGAAAAAAAGAAAAGGAAAAACAAAAAAAGAAAGGAAGAAAGAAAAGAAGCGCACACATGTTCTATTATGAAGTGTCATGCATGTTGACTCATCTAACAGCACACACTTCTATGTTCGCGGCATAGTTGGAGAGCTCCTAAATATGCTCTCAATTTTATCCCGTTTAGTTTGGGCTTCTCTCAGCACATATTAATTCATCTTTGTAATTCTCAAATGGGTCATTTGGGTGCATAGATGAGAGTGGATACCCTAATACTCAAATCTGGGTCCAAAAAGATTAGACACTATCCAACTTCGCTCCATTTTTTGATGGATATATATGTATTAAATCTGCCATTATTATCCTTTTTGGTTGATAAATGTATAGTTTATCAATGAAGCAGTCTGTGCGTCATTATCAGGGGCGGATTCAAATAATATATAAGGGGGTACTTGTCCAGTTGGCCCCATATATACGTTGATACCAACTTTAATAGAGGTGTCACCATTGGAATTTAATAGGTGCCCCATTGAAATTTAATAAAAAGTGAAAATGGCCATGTATTAATTTGAAATTCATAGTGGAAAGTATCATGCATTGGTATCTTTGTGAAATTTGTATGAATAAGTTTTTCTATTGGTAGAATTTTTATTATAAGGCCTTAATGTATATGTATAATTTTTTACAAGTCCCCAGGAACAAATTCTGGACCCATCATCAATGTGGTTGTTGAAATTTAGGCATTTTAAGTAAGATAATATCATTTCAAATTATACATTTTATCATTAATCTTAATCCTTACCTGTATGAACTATGGACTTCAAATGAGTTATCATCATCAGCAAAGGATTTCACATCTATGTAATTTCATCATATGATACAGTTTCTTACACGTTCAGCATGAATGACATCATCATCATGATGGAAGCACTTTTCCTATCTAAAACCTCAATAGGTGAGGGCTGGCGTTTAAAGTTTCATTTTTAGTCGGCCTTTATTGAAATTGCACTCCCTCCTATTCCATTCTTCTACTCCTATTGTTAATGCTGTTATTTCTGCGTCCTCTCAACTTATGCTGCTTCCATTTTATATATTGTGATTCTACTTGTGGGTTACTCTTACCGACATATTGATACAAAAGTAGCTATCCTATTCTTTTTATTATCATAACTAGTAACAACTATAGTAACTTGTTAAAATCTTATTACGAAGGCAATCTTCTGCGATCTGGTGATATGAGAGGATACCGATCAATGGCAAGGATGTATACAAGACTTGCTGCCATGCCAAAGAAAGGTTGAACGCCCCACTACTATGTATAGAAGATTTCCTCGTAATGTACTAATTATGTATCAGTGGAGGGCAAAGTGTAAGTGTTGAGCGCGTTACGGATTGCGGTATAATTATTCATGTCTGTATTTGGAGTTGATTTCTGCATGGGAGTTTTATGGCTTACAGTTTGCACTTGAATGGTGTGCGCAAGTTGAGATGTGGTTATGTATTGCCACAATAAAGATGGTGGGGTTGATATACTTTTTTTTAAGTAATTATGACTTGTGATTTGGTATACCTGCTTTATGTCTTGTATTCAACAATTGTTCTTCGGCATTCTTAGTCTTGGAGATAAATACATGCGGAGAGTGAGGGGAAATAACTTGACCCACGCTTTATTCATATGCTTGATCATCACATTTTTATTATTTGTTCGTATGCCTGATCAAGCACACCGTCTATTTTTTATTTGTATGTTTTGCTAAGTTTTAACCGTATAAGATTCGTGTAATCTCATTTGTCAGATTCGAAGCTTTTGCTAGGTGGGTCTATACCCGTATAAATTAATTTATTATAGCGTACTTTACTTTTGCCGCTTGAATTTGCTATTTAGCTTCACGCATGGTTTTGGTTAAAGCAAAGCTTTTCCAACAACACGAAGAATGAATTTCAAGAATGATGAGTAACATTGTGAGATATGAAGTTTGACCTTTGAAGATGTGCCTAATGAATTCCGCAGTGCGGTGGGTGTTTTTTATCTCGCCAGCGGGAAGGAGTAGCTATCTTTGAGCTACGGTGGGGATACCGCATTGCGACATCCTTTTGATCTGCGCTTGTTCATATTGATTCTTTGACAAGTTCTACTAACTATTTGATTCGAGAAGTTTATGACTTCCAATTATGTATGCAAGTTCAATTGAGGGATCTTGAGATGGATCCTTTTATAAAGTTAAAGGTTTTACTAAAAAGGACAGATACCGGCTTATTGATTTTGAAAATATTAATGAAATGTAAAGGATCTCGAGAAACTCTATATTAACAGTATTGACGGAACAAATGACCGTCCACCGTTAAGCTAAATAAGGTAAACGTTAAAATTTTAAAATAGACCCTATTGGAAAAAAATTTTTATAAAAATTAACCCATTTAAAACTTGATTACTATTTTCGGTTTGGTTTCTGTCACCTAGCTGAAACCAAGTTGAAAATGGTAAACAAAGTTTAAAAACTTCACGGGTTTAAAATCCTTTAAAGTTTAGTGTGGTTAATCAATCACTAAACTACACATGATTTTAAATTCCGTGAAGTTTACAAACTTCTACAACCTCATTATATTACCCTCACTAGTAGAAAAACGAGCAACCTAGAGGGAAATTTTTGTCTAGATTGCTCCAAATCCCGTCTATGTTAGTTCAACTAGACGGAATTTCATCTAGTTAGGTCCGTTTATTTTGCTTCCGTCTATATTGACTCAAACTAGACGGAATTCCGTCTTGGTTGATCAATCTAGACGAAAGTCAACCTAGACAGAAGTAAGAAGTCCGTCTAGGTTGTCAACCTAGACGAAATTCTATCTACGTTGTCAACCTAGACGAAAATCGGTCTAGGATGAGTCAACCTAGACGGATTTCCGTAAGGTTGATTATGACAACCTAGACGGAATTCCGTCTATGTTGTCTCACCCTAGACGAAATTCCGTCTAGGTTGATATTTTTTCAACAAAAAAAATTAATTACAATTTGTATTTCCCTGTACAATTACATTAATATATGAATACATCCAATAAATACTGTACACATGAATACATCCAACTATCCAAATATAATCAAAATTCATAACAATTCCATTCAAAACCAAATATAATCAAATCCAACAGAATGCACAAATCCAACCATCCACTCCAAAATATACATCAACCTAATCCGTCTAATATATACATCCAACAACATATATACTAACAATGTACATGAATAAGATAAGATACATGACATGAATAAATGAAGTGTTATAACAAATAAAACTGTTTATTGCATTAAAAATAAAAAACCCTCATCTATCGTCGTCGTTGGCAGTATCTCTATCCCGGTTACGAGAACGGATGCTGCTCCCTCCAATATTTCCACTCTGAATGTTCAATTGAATAATCATTATGTGGTATTTGATAACATATTAAATAAAAATAAATTTATAAATATAAGAAAAAATAAGGTACCTGAGCGCTGCTCTGTCTAGCGCCAGAATTATCGCCAATCGAGCTTATGATCCGTATGATACCAACATACACGCTATAAGGAATCACACCGCCTAAATATTGTATAACATACCTCATGAGATCGTCCATCGAGTTTGCCGTCAGCGCAACTCTAGTCATCTCATTAGTCACCTGAACATGTAGCTCCGGGTCAATCTTGTCAATCAAATACGCAGAGATACGTGCGACAAATGGCATAGCCTGGAAACTGTTTGGGGCTGCTCTTATTGATGTAGATGGCGTGGAGGATGCTGTGGATGATCTCACGCTTATGCCGGGTGAAGCTCCAACACTATGCAGAGGATATCTTCCTCTCCTATTATTAGAGAAAAATAAATATTAAATTTTGCTCTCGAATTCAATAATGGTAAACAAATATAAATAGGAACGTAGTATTCAAATTGATTCGATTTTTTACCATCCATACCTATTATGACCCATCAGGTTCTGTGTGAGAGTGATGTTCTCCTCTGCAGAAAGTATGTGAGGGTCCGGCTCAGTTTGTTCCTCCTCCTGCGAAATGTACACAGATGCAGCCTCGACATCTCTTACCTCTTCAGCCTCAACTTCGATATCATCTTCACTTTTATCTCCGATATCATCCTCGACATTATCCTCAACATCATATTCTGTAGGTCGAGGAAAAATATCATTCAACATTGTTTCTGTGTCATCTATTCGTTGACCACCGGACGTATCAACACGCACATTTGGATCCTCATCTTCGGTGATACCTTCCCCATGCCAGTTCCAATATTTATATTTTTCATCAAAACCTGATTTCATTAGGTGGATCCGTATATCATTTCTATTCAGCAGCTTCAAATTCCTACACCTACAACAAGGACAATACATAGCACCGCTTCTTAAATTTCTTGGATTCATTTCAGCATAACGCATGAATGCTTCACATCCCTCCTTGTATCGCGTGTCACGAAATCTATGACGCCGTGGGATATCTATCCATGATTTGTCAGGAATGATCCTCATCTGTAAATTATATATAATTATTAACTACGATTAGTCTCACAACTACTAGTACATCCATGACTCTTATACATTCAACACACATCAAACATTCGTTCATATATCATTTAACAATATGAATATTTATCTACATAATATATATATAAAACATACGTAGAAACTAATTACACTAATCTAGCGGCTGTCATAAGAAGACTTCTATCCATTAAGAATATAGTAGTACTTACATCCAACTTCATATACTTTGTATATTTTTATTTCTTGAAAATTTCGGTAGCACCTACTCGTTGTTCTCCCTGTACACTGTGCGGATGTTATTACACGTATCAGCAATAACCCGAAACGTAGAACAACATACGCTTATTGTACACGGAGAACGAATACGTGCTGCCAAAACTTTCAAGAATGAAAATATACAAAGTATACAAAATTGGATGTATGCACTACTATATTCCTAATCCGTCCGAGAAGGATAGATCCAATAATTACAAATTTTGGTACCGATTTTTTATTCGTATAATATAAAATAAACGCTCAATTCCGGGAGAAAACTTCGTCTCCTACCCAAATCTGAGTCATATATCATATATTATAAGTCCAAAGAATTGAATGTAATTATTGGACGGAAGTCTAGGGATAACGTTATTTTTTCATTCACCTAAATTGGATTATAACATATTATAAAAAATTATAATGTGTTATATATCACTCTAGTTTTTAAAATTTTTTATTTCACATATTTTCACTTCACAAACTTAAATAATCACACCTACTTATAGCACGAATGAAACTTAATTGAGTTAGGATCTATAAGTGTTTAATTAAATTTATGATTACTAGTGTTGTTCAAATGAATTAACATGTAGTTGAGTTAGGGTAATTAAATTTATGATTACTAGTGTTGTTCAAATGAATTAACATGTAGTTGAGTTAGGGTTAATTCATAACTAATATTTTTTCAATTAGTGTTGTTCAAATGAATTAACATGTAGTTGAGTTAGGGTTAATTCATAACTAATATTTTTTCAATTAAGGTTTTAAGAATTGAACTCATTTATTTTTTTTATCATAGAATGAAATCCTAATCAATTGAAGGAAACTATGAACTAAATGACATAACTAGATATCCTAGATAACAGGTAAAACTAAATAACAAAATCCAAGGGAAAAAAGTGAAACACTACAAGCAGAGAAGAATTGTGCAAGAAGTCAAAATAATAAATACACAAGGGAAAAACAAAATGTGGACCCAACAGAAATTATAGTCTTGGGGAATCGGCTTTGATGAACAAGGTAATGAGAAAAATGATCATTAGTGTGAGCAGGCTCTTCAACTCCTCATAACAACAGATAACAACAGTACAATATTGACAAGCACAAAACGTGTTCCTAGTTGCCACAGCAAGGCCATAAATGGCTTATGAAAATCAAAGGGGTGAAGTTGAAAAATCTGTTAGCTCATTCAAAGGCCACTTTAGCACCACTGTAAGGAAAATAAGCAAAAATATACATTTGAATTTTTCATAACAAAATGACTAATTAAAATAATAGGAGTAAATGAAAAAAAATCTCAGACACTGACTGTACACAGATTTTTTTCCACAAAATCAAAGTAAATATAAAAGAAATTCCATGCAGACGATCAGTCAAGGAACAGAAAGTATAATTTAAATGCAAACCCCAGTTCAGCTTCATAAATAGGATTATCATTCTTGCTGACAATGACAAAGCATGCAGTACTCGCCATTAGTTTTCTGAAAATAAATTGAAATATGGAGTTATAAGCAGTGGAATAAATCATGACATGGAAATGACAATGTAACACCAAAACTTATATCCACTTCCTTTGCCTATGTTGAACTGAGGTGAGTTCATGTCAGCCCCGATACTTTCCTGATACTTTAATTTGATCAACAATCTTTAATTTGATCATAAATTACATAAATTTCGTTAACTAGGAGCCTGCTACTCTGGAGGAATATTTGCACATTTACATATATCTATGAACTTATTTGTAACTAGTTCCATTTTTTTCCATGATAAATTAGATGGCAATGTCATTTAACAAACTTGCATAAAAATTAATGTCTACCTCGTTGATTCAATCAAACTATGTAAGAAACTGGCTAATAATTTTCTTTATTGTTTATACTCAAAATCAGAGATCCAAACGCAAGAACAAAATAGTCAGATCTAAAAGTCGAAAAACATCTTACCCCTGGCGATCTGAGGCTCTGAGGCTGAACACTGTGAGATTTGAGGCTCTTGAGGGTTTTGCTCAGCCTCTCGGAGACCGAATGAGAGAGGCGGAGAGCAACGGGTCGGCGAGGGATGAGGCCACAGGGACGAGGCGGCGGGATGGGTCGGCGAGGACGGAGGCCACGCAGGATGAGGCGGCGTATGCGGTCGCGCGTCAGGGCGAAGATTTCTCGAGGCGGGCATGGGCTCGCGTGAAGAGAGAGGACGAGAGAAGAGAGCGGCGGAGTTTTCCGTGCCCGGGTCGGGCTGGTGCCGTGGGGGGGCCGTTGGGTGGGGGGGGCCGGGGCGGAATTTGGAACCTGAATGAGTGGCACATTCCCACCGTCTGGGGCGCATTAGCCGCCGTAGCGCGGTTTTTTTTTTTTTTTTTTTTAAGGATCGAATCATAGACGAAAAGCGTTGACAACCCAGACGGAATTATTCTGTCTAGGTTGTTTTTTAATTTTTTTTTTAAATTATTCCGTCTAGGTTGTCGTTATAGACGGATTTTCCGTCTAGAATATCTCAGCCTAGACGGAACAATCTAGACGTAAATTTTCCATCTAGTTTGTCTCAAACTAGACGAAATTATTTTCCGTGTTGATTGTTCCGTCTAGTTTAACTGTTTTTCTACTAGTAAGGCCTACTGTTTGCATGCACTGGTCTTGACGGTGTTCGGCAGAAATTGTGTTTCCTTGTGTGGTTACCTTGGTAGTGCTAACTAAAACTTGAAGATATTATTATCTTAAAAATTTCTTCTTTATGTTCATCTGTCAGATAATCCATGTCAAATTTTATATCTGACCTAAAGCTAATTTCGTTAGAGCATTTCTTAATTATCTAGGATGAAGAAGTTCTCTATAAGTAGGAATGTAGGATTATGCTTCCATGAGATCATGCTTCAGCTAGCGAAACACACCTTTAGAGAAGAAATGTTGGTGTTTTGCTGTGATCTAGATTGCTACGATCAAGACGCAAACATATATTACTGTCCAGAGTCTTTGCTCTGGGGATTTGAAAAAGTAAGGGTAAATAAAATAAAATAAAATAAAATACTCCAAAATCTTGGGACGTTTCCCACAATACCCCCTGAACTTTGTTTTTCCCTATTATTACCCCACCCCCAACACTTGCTGTCTTTAAATAAGTAGTTCACATTGCATCTTTTAATAACCTGTTGTATGATCTTTGTCCCTTATTAATTATTGGTGCATCTAAATATTGTTGAACTTTTTGTTTCTCGTTGCAGATTTTTGTTGACATGGCCATACTGATCGATTCTCAAGGAGATACGCTGAACAGCATCGAATCCCAGGTCTGAACGAAAACCCATTATCTGTAGTGCTTGTTCGTTATCATCAGATGCGATGCATTGCAAGATACTCTAATTGCGAATTATAAGGTCTCTGTTCTTTTTTTTTGTTTTTTTTCCCTCCTGGGGATTTAATATTTTTTCTTTATCTTCCTCCTCCCATCAGGTTTCACGTGCAATTGACCATGTAATCGCTTCATAGAGCAAAGAGGCTGATGAAGAGCTCCCGCAAGTGGACTTGCATCGCGATCGATACTTCTCCTCCTCGTGGTTTTCCTCCTCCTGGTTCTTCTCACGGTAGTTCTCCCATTTGCTAAACCATGGAAGAAAAGTGCATATGCATGAGCAGTGGCTGATGTGGAGCGTTGATATTAGTTTGTTTTTGCTATGCATCCCATGTGTAGCTTTTAGTTTCCTTGGCTACTCCTGTGAAAAGAGTTTTAGATACCATTATAAAGCATTTGTTGAAGTAGGCGGTGTATGGGACATGCATGCTTACCTGCAGTTCTGTTGAATGATCTTCCATGTAGTGAAGCACCAAAGGGTGCAATTGCATATTCATTTTTCCACGACGTGTATTAAGGGGCTCTTTGGTTGGTTTCCTAAAAACCAAGAAAAGGAAAAGGTACATGGAAATGTAATAAAATATTATTAGATTCCATTTCCATTCCTAAAAACCACCCACAACATCCAATAAAATATTATTTTTATCCTCCAACTCATCTCATCTTATCTCATTTCTTACCTTTAAAAATAAATCAAACACAAGAAATGCATGTGTCACATCGTCAAGGTCACATCATCTCATCTCATCTCATCTTTAAAAATCACTCACATCATCCAATAAAAAATTGACAACTCATCTCTATTTCTTCTCCACTCATTTCCTCAAAAAAAACTAGGAAATTGGTTTTCTTAAGTGTTGGTCACATCATCCAATAATATAATGACAACTCATCTCATCTCATTTCTTTTCTTAGTTTTAAGAATGAACCAAACACAAGAAAAAAAAAATCTAAACAAGGAAAGTCTTTTCCTTTTAGGGGCTGTTTGGTTCGTTTCCTAGATATAGGGAAATGTAATTCCATGTAAAGAAATCAATGTTTTTAGTTTTCCAAACTTTTCCAAGAAATAGTTTGTTTTGGTTTGGTTCGCACAAAAAAAATGGTGAGAAACCAATGTCTTTACTTTTCTTGTGTTTGATTTGCATGAGAAAAAAAGGGAAAACTTTTGTTGATTTGACATTTCCCACTTTTCTTGTGTTTGGTTGGTTTTGAAGTGTGTAGGGAAAAGTGTATATGGTTCCCCCACTATAGACAAAAATTATTTGTGCTAGTTATGAGATGTAATCTTAATCATATAAAAGTGCGAATATATCATGAACAAATAATAATAACCCGAATGAATTATAAATTTCTGTTTCTATTAATGAAATCATACGAAACCTGAAATCATCTGAAACCTACTGTAACATGAACTTCGTACCTGATTTGACATGAAATATACCTGTTTGAGATGAAAATAATCACACAAAACCTGTTTTCTAAGAAAAAAATAAACAAGACCTGTAATAACCTGATTATTCATAAATTTATGAAATACGTACCTGAATTAGCCAAAAAAAATTCTGAAACCTATAAAAACATATAAACAGCCTGAATAGCCATATTTTAGTATATAACATAGCAAATAGCCATCCAGTGTATGTGAATTATGACTGTGGGCTCAGAACTTGTTCAATATCATCATCGTTAGCCATCCAGTGCAATATCAATAGATATTGTAGGTTGCTAATCTCAGAAAAATTAACAATCATCATAGCCTAAATTGAACACCCACAAACAGTATCATAATCAACAAACAATGCGGAAAATATGAACACACATAGAACTCCAAGTGACTGAACCCAACAACCAAAAACAGAAGGAACAAAATCAGAAGGAATGAAATCAGCAACAACCAACAACAAGAGACCAGCAGAACACAACAACAAACCCAAAAACCAACCTGGAAGGAAATCACAAACCCAACAACAAACAAGAACTTCTTTTAGCAACCTGGAATGAAATCACAAACCCAACAACCAAAAACAGAAGGAACAACGTAGAGAACACCATATCAGCAACAACAAGAAACCACAAACCCAACAACGTAGAGATCAACCAACAACCAGCAACAACAAGAAACCACAAACCCAACAACCAAACTAACCAACAACCAGCAACAACAAGAAACATTCAGGCCCAACAACCAAACGACACAACAACACAACTCTGGACACAACAACAACAACTGAAGGAACAACCAGCAAACTAACCAACAACCAGCAACAACAAGAAACCACAAACCCAACAACAAGATCAACCAACAACCAGCAACAACAAACCCAAAAACCACCAACCAGCAACAACCAAACTAACCAGCAACAACCAAACTAACCAACAACCAGCAACAACCAACAACAACCAGACCAGACCAACAACAACCAAATCAGAACAACTAGCAACAACCAACAACAACAACAACCAACAACAACAACTACCAACAACCCCGAGCACATGTTGTGTTTAGCTTAGGGCTCAGAACTTGGTCAATATCATCATTGTTAGCCATCCAATACAATATCAATAGATATTGTAGGTTGCTAATCTCAGAAAAATTGACAATCATCATAGCCTAAAAATAAAAAAATCACCAACGAAAACCAAATACCTAAATGCCCCAGAGCAATAGCCATCCAGTACAATGTGTACACATTGTAGGTTGCTTGCATCTTAGGAAATATCCTGCATTCACAAATTCAATTACAAAAGTTAGTATTCCACAAAATGATATTAATCATGGAAGATAAATATTACAAAATGGAAGCAAATAAATACTTACTACATATTACAACAATATGTTCCATCATCATAATGTTCCACAAACACAATAAAAACATTATCACCAAAAGTAAGTGGATTTCACAAGTATGTTAGAAATGAGAATCACAAAATACCACGTAGAGACTTCTTCTATCGGTCTTCAACCCCCTTCGTTGAGAAAGGTAGCAATCATCTCTTTTTGACCAACCGATGATATGCCCATAAATAGTCTTGCTTCATGCTCATTCAAATATAAGTGTCGGTAGTATGTATCTAGCTTTTCAACACTAAAATCTTGTAAATGAGCATATATGACCGTGGATAACTTCTCGGTCCAATGCATATTTACACACTTCATGTTTGCGCTAAATACATCTATCTTATCCACCATTTTTAACATGAGCTCATCTTCTAGGTTGTTCCTACGAGCCTTTCCCTTAGCAACACATACCTTTGCTTTAGAACTTGATATGGCGGGTGTTTCCTTAGGCGGAGGAGTGTCCTCTTCATCTAAAATGTGTACTTGAGGGGATTGTGAGGCAGGTAAAGGCGAGTCACCATCATCTCCAAGATTTATGGACTCACTACGACTAAATTTTTTCCAAGCATCACATGCAAATTCTCCTCTAGCTTGATCATCCCCGATGATAAGGGAAAGATCATCGTAGTGAGTCAAGGGTTTATTGACATATTGTCTAAGTTTAGCATTCTTAAAGCTCTTGTCCTGAAAAGTATAATTGAATTAATTCAATGAAAACATGTAAATAAGATAAGTAATCAAGGGTTATGTAAAAATAGTTTATGTACCTCAATCCACCTATCCAAACATTCAGGATCCATGATGACAGTCTTGGTGCTTTCATCCCAACCGGCACCACTAAGATTATGACATGTTTCCACATCACGGAATCTTGTACGCAAAGTTTTGATGCGGTTCATGACATTTTCCCACTTGAATGATGTGTTAAACTTCTCATTAATATGTTGGAAAGCCATATGAAAAGCGGTTCTCTTAAAGCTTTTGTCGGGTTTGTAACTCTTTCTTACCATGTCGGCAAAAAATGGAATGAGCTCATCATCGTAACGGGAATCCCAGAACATATGTTTGTTACCTTTAAGACCTCCAGTCTCACTATTTTTTTTATTTGTTGATGTGTTTTTCCTCCTCTTCTTTGGATTTGGTGATGTTTCTTCCCCTCCTTCTATGAGCACCCGTTTGGAACCTGATTCGGGAGTTGAGCCATAACCACTAGTGGGAGAAAGTTGCACCCCACTAATATTAGGACTATGGAATTGTGTAGGCAAAGTAGGAGAACTTAGCATGCTCGTGTATGACCCAAAATGAGGGTGCATCGGGAAGTAACTGCCATCATGGAATGGCATGGTGGGAAATGCATGAGGTGGTTGCCCAAAGTATGACTGCTGAAAAGGAAAATACCCACTATCGCCTTGATGCAATGACTGAGGGGGTTGAGAGGGTGGAGGCTGAGATGGCGCTACACCCTTGCCTTTAGGAGTATCAGCCATCACTAATTAAGTCAAATATAATAACATGAATACATGATTGATATTGCAAAGCAAAATATAAGAACATGAATACATGATTGATATTGCAAAGCAAAATATAAGAACATGACTACATGAATGAAAAGCAAAATCTAAAAAGTGGACAAACCATCAAATTGTCACTACATACATGAGCATAAATAGTACAACAAATATGAGAATTAAGTCTCAGTACTTACACCATGATTATACTTATCACAATAGTCCACCCACATCGCCCAAGCAATGTTATCGCTAAGGGTCTTCCACTCATTTCTTGATTCAGTTTGTTCTCTTTGAGTTTGAGTCTGAGTAAAATCAACTAAATTATTATCATTCTCATTTGTCACCTCACCATCAATATCTTCATCAATTTCGGACTCGCTGAGTAGTTCATCGCTTGGGTCAACAGTTGCGATGAAATTATGAAGTATCGTGCATGCTAATACGATATCTACTTGTGTAGGAAATGGATAATGCGGCTTAGCACACAAAATCTTAAAACGATTCTTCAATGTGCCAAATACAGATTCAATCTTAGACCGCAAAGAAGAATACCTTAAATTGAATAATTCCCTTCTATTCTTAGGTGTTTTACCCGAATGTTCTTTCAAATGATATCGAACACCACAGTATGGAGATATGAAACCTGGCATGGTAGGGTACCCAGCATCACACAGATAGTATTTGCCTACAATTTTATTAAAACAATTGTTAAAGAAGTCAATTTTGCATATTAAATTTAAAAAATTTTAAGTTAAATTTTTATATAATTACCATCATAGACTTTCAATCCATGTGGCTGTGGTCTAGATAATGCATCTTGGAGAATCCTAAAATCATTTGCAGACCCCTCCCAACCTGCTAAGATATATGTGAACAATTTGTCTGGGGTGCAAGCTGCAAGCACGTTCTGTGTAACACCTTTGCGGCCTCGAAATCGTGCAACAAGATTAATCGGAAGCATTGCATCAACATGAGTCTCATCTATCATACCAATGCAATCCTATAATACGTGTATCACATTACTAAGTTATCATTTATTTTCATTGCTTATACATGTAACTGTGGTTAAAATGTAGATATACCTTGAAATAAGGATAGTATAGCTGGTTGTTAACGATCTCTTGGGGAGTATCATTGATGGCTTGTCTCATGTAGCGTCCACGCAAACAGATAATTGCTTGTAAAACCTTGTTGAAATATCTACTGACTGTCTTCCCTGATCTTATGAAATGAGATCTCACAATGCGATTTTTAGATTTATGACCCAAAATATTTAGTGTCTTGATAAGTTGTTCTTCCACTGATATATTCCTTGAGTCTTTTAGAAGCATATTGTTCCTCATTATACTTACTAGCTTAACAAAAGCACCACTCCGCATTCTAATATAATTCACACAACTATCACTAAAACCATTATAAATACGCTCTATATGTTCAATTCTAGACCTCTCTTGTCTTTTTTTTTCCTCACTTGGACCACGACGTATAGATTTACGTCTAGCTTGCATTCTCCTTATGAATGTAATTATTATAACAAGAACATATAGTGCTGCACCTTGAACCACATTAACAACACTTTGTTCATCGGTACAATCCCCATCACCATCCATCTACGATGCAAAAATCAAATTGAAATAATTAATATACCTACCAAGCATTCACATGCAATGTCAATAATCAAAACTTAAATGACACATAACAAGATCTAAAGTTAATTTTCAGTTAATATTTTCATCAATATTTTCAGTTTCTTTTACGACCATTTAAGATAATTGTCAGTTCATTTCTGTTCTCTTTTCAATTATATTTATAATAATTAATATAATTTTTACTTAATTATAATAATATTTGAAGGAATATTTTTAGTTAATTACAATTATATTTTTAGATAAATTTCTGTTAATTTCTAGATAACTATAGAAAATGCAAAATTTCATCCTAATAATTCAAATCATATAAAATTTTTAACAAATCAATTTTGAGTTGAGAATCATACCTTAAGTCTGAAATCAGTTTCCAGGAAGATCAAAGTAGAGGAGGTGACCCTAGCCCTCAACCGTGTTTCCCCCCATTTACCCGAGATCTGACAACAGTACAGATCGGGGGCGATTTCCTCTCGTTTTCGAAGGAAATGGGGCGAAGAAAAAAGTCCGATGTGGAGGGGATTTCCGCGGCTGGAGGGACGAGGGGGAGAAGCGAACCAAAGATGGGAAACGAAAACCCTAGAATGGGTTTTGTCGATGTGGAGCGGGTGTCAGGAGGAGAAAAGCATTTCTACGGGGTTTTAAAGCGAACCAAACAACCCCTTAAGTCTTTTCCTTATTTTTTTAGCCAACCAAACACAAGAAAAGAACCTCCAATAAGTTTTATTTAAAAATCACTCACATAATCCAATAATATGGTGACAACTCATCTCATCTCATTTCCTTTTTACTTTTAAGAAGTGAACCAAACACAAGAAATGGACCAATATTTAAGAAAACATTTCCTTTTTTTTCCATTTCCAATTTTTTTAGCGAACCAAACAGCCCCTAACAGGAAAATCTTGGAAAACGCTTTATATTTAGGGTCAATTTACGCAAACCACCTTATGTTTCTAATTTATATTTGAACCACCTACAAGTCTACAAAGTAATTTTTTCCCCTGGTCAGCCATGTCAGCGTGCTTTGTTGCTAATTTTTTTTTGAAATTCCAACAAAACCTTCATTTGATCTCACGTGGAAAGTTTTTAGAGAATCAACAAGAGAGGCCACATGTTTTACACGTGAGATTAAGTGAAGGTATTGTTGAAATCTCAGAAAAGTTTTAGTAGCAAAGTGGGTTAGTTGGTTGGCCGGAAGAAAAACTGACTTTGTAGCTGGCCTAGGTATAAATTAAAAGTATAAAATGGTTTATGTAAATTGATCCTAAATATAAGGTGGTTTCTAGCGAAAAGAACCCTAAAGTAAGTAAGTAATTATTTTATTTAATTTTATATTTCTTTTTATTTTATTTTTTGCATTGCTCTTTCAATATTAGGACTTCCATCAAATGATTACATTCTGTTCAATAAACACCTAAGAACCAAAATGAAACCACATGAACAAATTTTCAAAACCGACCATTTTTTAAAAATATTTCTAAAAAACGATCTATTTCAACAGTATTTGTCAAAACCGACATAGTTTCAGTTATTGGGCAAAAACTTGGTCGGTTTTGACGAAATAAGTTCCCAAACTTCACGGGACTTGAAGTCATGTGAAGTTTAGCAGCCATTTAATTAAGCTGCTAAACTCCACGGGACTTCAAATCCCGTGAAGTTCGTTTCAGCTCAAGTTGTTTTGAACTATGCAACTTCACGGGACTTGATGTCTCGTGGAGTTTAGTAGCTTAGTTAAATGACTACTAAACTTCACAGGATTTTAAGTCCCGTGAAATTTCATATTTTTTCGTCAAAACCGACCTAGTTCAGCCCGACGGTTGAAACTAGGTCGGTTTTGACGAATATTTTTAAATAATTACTGGTTGGTCTTTAATTGAACGTGAAGCTATCTAAACTAGGCTAGTCGAATTAGCACGTGGGCCATAAGCCCACCACACTAACGGCGTTATCGACAACAGCGGGAACTGGTGAACACCGCGGCCGTTTCTTTACGGCGAACAACGCCGTTTACGCCTCGAAATACCTCTCACGCTTCTCTCTCTATGATTCGAATCTCAAAACTAGACGCGAGCAAAGTCCAGTCTTCTTCTTCTTCTTAAATTTCCAAGCAACAAAAGGAAATTGGGAGCAAAAGGAGAGAGAGAGAGAGAGAGAGAGAGAGAGAATGAGATCGAACATCGTAAGCGAGGTAACGGATCTCTTAGTTCGCTCTTATCCCATTCTCATAGATCTAGATCCTACGCAGTACTTAGTAACTTGAAAATTTTCAGGATTTTACTGGTTCCTTTGATCACGTTACGTTGTGATTAGGGTTTTTCTTTTTAATCTATCCAGTTTGTGAGTGAGATTCAGTGACTTGATGATCGAGAAATGGGAGATATTGTCTTGGGGAAAGTGGAAGAATTTGATGATAGGGTTTTACTGAGAATGGAGTATGTTAGCAAGCCCTAGATTTTGTTAGGTCTACGATGAAATCGAGCCATGTTTACATCTCTTGGAACACTTGTTCAATGTGGCTGTCAATGCTAGTTTTAGTGATTCATGGATGTAATCTGAGGTTTTTTTGGTCTATACAGGCTGTAGTATTTTGGACAAATTTTCTAATAGTATAGGTTGTCTAGGTTGATTATTGATCAAGTTGTCAATTACTTTCGAGCTTATATTGCTTGCGTACACTCAATTCACTCAGTGTCCATAGAATTGCAAGATCTAACCTGCATAACATTTTCATGTACCTCCTGTGGGCCCATACGCAAGAACTATTATGCATACATTAATGCCTCAAGGACCCAAATAGGGGACTCAAGGCATGGGACGGGCATGAGACATGTGAGGTGTCACCATCCGGTTGTATGATGCACTGTTCATAAACAGTGCATCATGCAACCGGATGGTGACACCTCACTTATCCCATGCCTTGGGTCCCCTATTTGGGTCCCTGTAGCAACACCCTTATGCATAACATATTAACATGTCAAAGGAGTACATTCAATTTCGAATACCAAATCTACATAAATGGATGCATTAACAAAAGAAATAAATGTCCTCCAGAATTAATTGTATGAAATGAAGTTTAAGTCAATCTCACATGTTGTTATCATTGGTATTTTTTAGTTGTTGAGTTTCATATCTTTTGTTGAAATGCCTTTTACCTTTGTTTGATAATCACGGAGTTGATAATATATAGGAGTACCTTTCAGATTAGAGAGCGCCAAGGTATCACAGATAGTTTGCCATCTTAAAGGAGAGTTCAATGCTACAGGGTTATCTGATTTTTCTCACACATGGTCTGGAGAAAACAATTTAGAAGTAGTATCTTGCTTGAGCGTTGATCGCCAATGAAGGAGTCTCTGAATTTGGACTGATTTTTTGAGTTTTTAATTTTCATGATGTGAGTTCAAATGAAGTCCGGATGTTATGTAATTGAAGTGTGTACTATCACAAGGAGTGGTCTATCATCTATGAATCTATTCTGCACTGGACCTGATTTTCTTACACTTCCCGTGCACCTTATATGTATTTGTTGGGATAATTAAACACAAAAAAAGAAAATACAGAAACAATCACAAACACACAATATTTACGTGGTTCGATCAAATTGATCTACGTCCACGGCAAGAAAGGAGTTTCACTATATTCAATCTCTCAATACAACGCACATACAAAATTTGAGAGGACTCTGTTTTGTGTAGCTCTCTTCTTACTCGTCGTAAAACCCACTGAGAGTTTAAGAGAGAATGAGAGATATAGAGAATCTAACAGGGGCCACCTCAATTTGAACTTTCTCTACCCGAAGTGAGGGCGACATCAATTTCAAGCGGCTGATGTTTCTTTGGCTCAAATCAGATCAGCCGTAATTGTTGGAAAAACTTGAGAGTGAATTGAAGTGAGGGCGATTGACAACGACCTCACTTCCCCCCGAAGTCAAGTTTTGTGTTCTCCTTTTCAAAACAAATGAGTCCCGGTCATTTGGCCAAATTCAAGTCAATATCAACAATTTTCACATTGGATTGAATTCTCAAACATCAATAACTAGTGAATTTCACTCGTCTTGCAAACAATGCCCCAAACGGGGCCACCTAACAAGTACGAATGCCTCCCAAATTCAAGCAGTGCTTGAACTTGAAGGTCAGGATCGGTTTGGTCAATATGTCAGCTGGGTTGTCTGCAGTACCAATCTTCTTCATCGTGATGTTTCTTTCAGCAATTACCTCACGAATGAAATAATATCTGACATCAATATGCTTTGTCCTCTCATGATGTGTTGAGTTTTTGCTTAGATGTATTGCGCTCTGATTGTCGCAAAATACAACTGAACTAGCCTCCTGCTGAAGTCCAAGCTCCCTTACGAGATTTCTCAACCAAATAGCCTCTTTTACCGCTTCTGCTGCTGTCATGTTTTCTGCCTCTGTAGTAGACAAAGCAACTGTCGACTGTAGAGTCGATCTCCAACTAATAGCTGAGCTAGAAAGAGTAAAATGATAACCAGTCAAAGATCTTCTTTTATCGAGATCATCTGCATAGTCAAAATCCATAAAACCTACAACTGAGGTTCTAAAAGTACTGCTATCAAAAACTAAACCTAAATCTGAGGTACCCCTGAGATACCGAAGGATCCGCTTCACTGCTTCCCAGTGTGCCTTCCTTGATTGAGCCATGTATCTGCTCACTACACTGACTGTCTGGGCAATGTCTGGACGAGTACAAATCATAGCATACATAATGCTACCCACTGCATTAGAGTATGAAATTCGGGACATCTTCTTTTTGTTCTCACTTGTAGGTGAATCTGAAGCCGAGAGCCTAAAGTGAGGAGCCAAAGGAGTCGTAACGGGCTTGGCCCTCTTCATCCCAAAGCGTTCAAGCATCTTTTCAATATAACTCTTTTGTGAGAGAGATAATGTTCCAGCTTTCCTGTCCCTCCTGATCTTCATACCTAAGATCTTCTTTGTTGCATCAAGATCTTTCATCTTAAACTCATCACTGAGTTGTTTCTTTTGCAACATGTTCTTAGCATCAATAAGCATGTCATCATCATATAATACAAGATAAGAATCATCTCCTAGATGCATGTAGTACACATAACTATCATAAGTACTTCTTGAGTACCCATGACTAAGTATAAAATTATTAAACCTCTTGTACCACTTTCTGGGAGATTGCTTCAGACCATACAAAGATTTCTTTAATCTGCAAACTTGATCTTCACCTTCTACGAAGTATCCCTCTGGCTGAGACATGTAGATAGTCTCCTCAAGTTCGTCATGCAAAAATACAGTTTTCACATCAAGCTGTTCAAGCTCCAGATCAATTAGAGCAACCATGGTAAGCAATACACGAATGGAGGTATGCTTCACAACTGGAGAAAACACTTCATCATAGTCAATTCTCTCCTTTTGTCTATAACCCTTAGCCACCAACCGTGCTTTGAATCTAGCATTTTTAACCCTTGGGATCCCTTCTTTCTTTTTGAAAATCCACTTGCATCCAATTGCCCTTTTACCCTTAGGTAATTGCACCGGATCCCTTCTTTCTTTTTGAAAATCCACTTGCATCCAATTGCCCTTTTACCCTTAGGTAATTGCACCAAATCCCAAGTCTGATTCTCAATTGCCCTTTTACCCTTAGGTAATTGCACCAAATCCCAAGTCTGATTCTTGTAAAGTGACTCGAGTTTTTCTGTCATAGTCGTGGTCCAACGTCCAGATTCTCCGCATGAGACAGCTTTAGTAAAGTTTGATGGCTCTTGAATACACATCTCTTCAGCTGTCGTGAGAGCATATGCCACTAATTCAGCATGTGCATATATTTGAGGAGGTCTGATCTGTCTCATCTCTCTGCCAGTGACTATGGAATAAGATTCTTCAGTCTCAGCATCATCATCATCTGAGCCTGAATCATGTTGCTCTTCTACAACTGTAGGAGCAATTTTTATAGACGACTTTTGAGAAGTCTCTCCCTCGAGCTTCACCTGAAGCTCCACCTTATTCATGTTCTTCTCTATATTTCCTGTAGACTCAACAGAAACTTTCCCATGATCAAACATATATCTTTTATTAAAAGTAACTGTAGGCTGTCTAAAAATCACAATGGATAGCTAATCTCTATCAAGCCCTGATAATGGGAGTTACAATCAGACGACTTTCTAATCACTGCATCCGCAACTCTGCAACCGCTATAAACAAGGCCTCATCTCTGAGATGATTGATCTTGATGGCTGCGACAACAGCATGACTAATATTATATTAGCAACTATTAGAGATGCTGATGAGCAGTGTAATGATTTCAGAAATAAAAGGTTGGGCTTAGTTGGTGAGTCGCTTGGTAGAGAGCTGTGGGCAAATATCCATCTTCAAAACACTATGGATGTTGATTCCCGTCAAGCTCTCACAACGAAAGCTACAATCAAATAGCTTTCGGGTCGACAGTCGGAAAGGGCAAATAGGAGACTTTTCACACAGATCGAGAAGAGTTACAATTTGACGACACTTCCGACAGCTGATGAAAACCCTATTCAGTGGCCTTCACGATCGTTGGTGAGAGTTACAATCTGACGACTCTCATATCTTATAACAGGCAAAGACCAATAAACAATGGCCTTTGCAATGTCATGGCAGACGATGTTACAAGTCAACAACCTCTATCAAACGTAGAAGTTTAATTCTGCGTTTCTCAAATTCGAAACGCACACAACTTGTGCGTTCTCCAGCGAATGTCTAACTCTGCAACGCAGAGTTCAAGCACCAAACGCACACATAACGTGCGTTCTTCAATAGGTTCAACTACGTGTCCCAAACTCTGGACGCAGAGTTGAGCTTCAACGCACACGGCCTGTGCGTCTCAAATCTCTAACAGAGATTTAACTCTGCATCTCAAGCCTTGGACGCAGAGTTAAAGCCCATAACGCCAACTGAGGCGTTTTGACTTGTTCAAACGCAAGTCGAACGGCCTCAAAACCGTTATCCCACGTTCTGAGGGATTCTCGCCCACAAAGGAGCGGAAATAGGGGTTGGTTACACTCCACATCACCCTATAAATAACCAACTTACTCAACTGAGTAAGGGGTTGGCGGGTTGATAGGTTGATCAATCGGTTTCTGAGATCAAAACCGCAAAGAGTTGAGGGGAGCTGGTATCAAAACCACCCAAGGTCAACAAATCTCGGCAGTTGAGTAATCGGAAGGAAGAG